CACTATTCAACTGTATAGGAGAAGCTTGAACCACTGGTACTGCACTTGCAAACTGCCCACTGCCTAATTTTCTCCCTATGCTTCTGCTGCTCCCAGCACCTGGAAATTTTCCAAAGAATTGTTCCAGACCTCCTACCTCCAAACTATGTGGTTGAAACCAGAGTTTGAATTTCATGGAACAACATGAAAATCTTATAAGAATATAAGATGTTGAACCAGAAGCCTAGAAATTACTGGCTATTAGATGGCAACATAAGCATCCTGGGCCTCAGATTTTAATTAATCTATTTTATAATGTCCTTAAAAGGACCGATGAGATATTATATACAAGCAGCTTGATTTAGCATCAATCGGGATAAGCCTATTCCTAATCCTGTGTTAACACTCTTAAAGTGATATCTGTTATTGATATTTACTGTAAATAAGATAGTGTAAAATATTCCATGTCAACTGTCTATTGGGAGGAAACAAGCAGGATGCTGTACTACTTTGGCATTCCAGAAGTCTATGAATGTAGATAAAATAACACTATCCTGAAAAGCAAACTATTACAGTACTTTCCACCAACATGTAATCAAAGAAACAATGTCACTGGTGGGTAAAGGGATAGTGGAGAGGGCATGGTGAAGAGACCTGAATTATTACTAAATTGCAACCTCATCTTCAGCAACTATCATAGAATGAGCCTGTACTGTTGCTCTAATTCCAGAAGGGCCTATGATGGGACAAGAGGCACCACCTAGGCTTCTCAGAGCTCAGGTCTTTGCACAAGGATAAAATTTGTTTGTATTCTGTTCACATCTCCTTGCTATTACAGTAGATTCCTTCATCCCTCTAGGATGATATGAACCCATAAAGCTAACTCTGTACCTGTCCTTATTGGTTCCCTTAGTAAGGGGATTAAAAAAAGAAACTCTCTGCATGCTGGCAAGGTGGATCACTAAGTGCTTGTATCTGGCCTATAAAATTTTATGCTGGCTGCTGGAAAAAGAAATAACTTTCTGATGCTAGATGGGTAGGTTTGAGAACTAACTGGACTCCATCCAATATAGTCTCCCTCCACTGCAAAGACAAGGGATGTATACTCTACATCCTCACTTGATGAAAAAGAAGGTGGCAGATAATGGCTTTCAGGTCCAACCCTTGACAGACATGGGAACAAAAGGCAGCTTATAGACAGATAACTGGCTTTGTATACCCCATAGTTTATCCCACCAAGCCTTAGTTATTTAGGGGGTCACATGGAGTGGCTAATAATATCCATTATCTTCTTGGTCTTCAACTCCTCCTGATTGGCAATCTATGACCCCATCAATTTCCATCTATGGAGCAAAATTATTAATAAAGCTGGGACTTTAGGATACTTATAATGACAGGAACAGGGGTATCTGTAAAATAACCTTTCAAATATATCTCCATTTGAGTACACATCATTTTTTTTAATAACCTATGATAGAAGCCTGCTGCCTTTCATTGATTACTGAATGAGAGTAAAGTGACCTTCTAGATCAAAGGGTGTTTCATCTACCTACTTATATCTTGATCTAATCATACCAGACCTCTGGAAACTTTGAGTCTTTTATTCCTAGATTGTCCACTTTTGGGCCAATCTTGAAAAATGTATTTGAATGTCTGGAAGTGCAATTCTAATATCATGCTCTATTCAACCAAGGAATTCCCATATGCCAGACAAGTGATTGGTGGTCCTGGATACAATGCCTTTAAGATCATGGAGCAGGGAAGCTATTTTGTTATATGAGAATTCAGGAAAACATCTTCATGTTTATTTCTTTATGATTTACTAAAGTCCCGGTGCACAAAGTTCATGCACAGGCGCAGGGGCGGGGGAGATCCCTCAGCTTGGCCTGCACCCTCTCATAGTCCGGGACTCCCCGGGGGATGTCTGCATGTCATGAGCTGCTGCACTGCCAGCATGAGCCCAGTTTCTGACTGAGTGGCAGTCCCCCTGTGGGAGCACACTGACCACCAGAGGGCAACTTCTGCATTGAGTGTCTGCCCCCTGGTGGTCAGAGTGCATCACAGCTACCGATCCTTCGGGTCGTTCCACCATAACCGTTGCTTAGGATTTTATTATATAGATTTTTTCCATACTGGTTAAAACCTTGGCTATAAATATTTCAGTGAAGTTTTGAGGGCTGTTTTGAAGGGGTTTGGTGCCATGTAGTGGTGCTTCCAAACACCATAACTTAGAACATCCTGTGTAACAACAAGTGGAACCATCATCATATTCATACTGGGCCAGGATAGAATTCTGGGTCTGAATCCTAGCTAAAACCACTAGGCAGGCTCTCTACTTTGTGAGAGAGAAATTTAGAAAGGCAATAGAGGCTGTCCTACTCTGTAAAATTTTCTAGCCTGAAAAATTTATAGGGGAAAATTTTATAAAACTTGGACAGCATCACATGGTCCTAATCTTCAAGAATAGCAGGATATAAAATGGCCTGCATCCTATGACTTTTCCAGTATATATTTTTTTTCTAGCAGGCCACTGTTAGAGCTTTGGTTTATAGATAATGGGGATGAAAGGCATTTAATTGAGAGTTAATGAGATTGCCTCAGGATATAACATAGAGTATGAAGAAAAAAGATCAAGAATGAGGAACTATACCATTTATGAGCTCTGTGATGTAGGCACCTCACCAAATGCCAATTTTATCATCTAAAAAATGAAGACAAACTCACACACCTTGGGGTAACTGTGTACAGCAATAAATCATTCAATAATTAAGAGCTATAATTAGCATTATCTTGCATGTTCTATTCAAAAAAGGATTGTGTTGGGTAAACAAATCATTTCATATGTTTGTGAGCATAAATGTCTAGACTGCAAGAATGACTTAAAAGACAATGCAAAAAAATAGTTCTAATGGTGAAAACTCCTGGATGGCATTATGATAGGGTGAAAGTACATATCACTTGATATGTCATTATTTTCCCCTAAAATCATACCACTCATATTCCTTTTGAAAAGGTCAGTCTGGTGGTAATGCACCAAATTATCACCTTCTACATTAAAAAAGCAAGGAAGGGATATTATCAATCCATTATCTTATATTCCCTTCCCTTAGAACCCTCTGGAAATGATACTTGGAGAAAGAGTCTGTAAGTGGACATTATTAAAAAGAGAATTTATTCATGAATACGCAGGATATATAAAGTATTTAACTATTACATAAACATGCATTGAAAAATATTTATTGAGTATCTACTATTTGTCAGACACTCTGATAGATACTGGAGATGTAATGTCAAAAACAAAGAATTCAGTCTCTCATGGAGCTTCTAGTCTAGTAAAAAACTCCACAGATATCTATGAAATAATAATAAAAATAAACATAAAATTCTAATTGTAATAATTGTTTAGAAGGAAGGCAATGCTAATTCAATTCAAATGGTACATGTAATAGGACAGAAGGAAAGTTATATCATTTATTCTATGCCTCAAATAATTTGCCATTCTTTCATCTATCCTTCTTTTCCTGTGCTTCTTAGACTAACTGTCTTATTTAAAGCTTCTACAGGCATGTATTAAGCAAAATAAATATGTGAATCAATAATAAAAAACTAAGTAATTACAATTATAACTTCAATCTCTGCCTTATGTTAAACCACTATTATTATATTGCTCACACCATATAGTACATTAGAAAATGTTAAACATAAAAACCTGGTTTTACAGAATTATTAGCTGGTTTGGGGACAGTAAGATTAGATTAGTTTTGTATATCTATAAGATGAGCATTTATATTGAAAATAAAAGCCCAGAGAAAGAACACTATGTTTTGACTAAATTTCTGAGCTTCCTTAAATTTTTACTCTTTTTTTTACAATTTTATTAAATATTATCATATCCCCCAATTTAAAAAAAAAATTGTTTTATTGTTGACAGTATTACAGATGTCCCCCATTTTGGCCCCCTGCCCCCAACCCCCACCCAACCTCAAGTCTTCACCACACTATTGTCTGTGTCCATGGAATGAACTATGTATATATGCATTTAAGTTATTAAGTTCTCCCAAATTTCTGGAATTATTTTTAAAATGTTTTCCTATACATTAAAATATCCATGCCTTAATAAGTCACTGGATGACATATTTCATTTCTACCAGTAGATGGCAGTGATTAGCCTTTACATTGTTCATGATCCAGATATTGAGTGGTAGAGCCTGCCCTGTATAAATTCAAACACAGAAAAACAAATTATAGCAACATACTGTAATAAAAGTTATGTAAATGTGAAAAAACACAAACCCTGTAGTTAAGGACTCAGTCAATTTTTTCAGAAGACTGTACCACCAGTATAAAATTTTGATGATTCTAATAAAATTTTAACTGGTTTGTGTCACTGTAATGGCATTTAAAAGAAGAACCAATCACATAAATAATAGGAAAATAGAAAACTAGAGATGCCAAAGGATTAAACTATCTTTTTCTAAAATATACATGTTATTGAAATGCATTTTCCAAAATATTAATTACACTTTTCATCATTTTGGAGACTACAGGTGGTTTTTCTTTATTCCTTTAATTTTTCTATGTTTTTTAAAATTTCAGATTAAAAATTATTTGCTTTTTTCAACTATACTAAATAAATGATAAAGTGGGAAATAACTTCAAAACCAGAAGAAATTAAAAGAATCACAAGAGACAACTTAGCTCAACTCTGTGCAGATGTATTTTAAAAGATTAATTAAATCATTTTCAGGGAATATATAACTATTAGCAGAAAATGTAATGAATTTAAACAGACTGATTTCCATGAAACTCGTAGAGAAAACCCCCCATCCGCAAAAATGCACACAAAAATCCCTAGGCCCACCAGTTTCACTAATTCCAATGATATTTAACTATTTCAAAACATTTAAAAAAAAAAAAAACTACCAACATTTTAATGGATATCAAAAATCTGAAAAAGATAGCCTCTAAAAAGAAAATCACAAGAGAGTGGTGTAAAAATGCTGAAGGAAAGTAAGAGGTACAAACTTTCAGCTATAAAATAAATAAGTCACAGAATGTAATGTACAGCATAGGGCATATAGTCAATAATATAATAATTTTGTACAGTGACAAATGATTACTAGATTTATCACTGTAATTGCTTCCTAATGAATATAAATGTTAAGTAACTATGCTGTAGACTTAAAACTCATATACTATTGTATGTCAAGTATAATCTAAATAAAAAAACATTAATTTTTTTAAAAATAAATCTTTTTTGTTCAGATTATTACAAATGTTCCTCTTTCCCTCCTCCCTCCCCCAATTGCTCTCCTCCACCAGGTTCCCACCCCACCCTCTGCCTTTTCCCCACCCCCCATTGTCCTCATCCATAGGTGCACAGTTTTTGTTCAGTCTCTTCCCACACCCCCCACTTCCCTTTTCCCCGAGAATCATCAGTCCACTCCCCTTCCATACCACTGATTCTATTATATTCACCAGTTAATATTGTTCATCAGGTTTTTTATTTTCCTTGGCTTTTAGTTTCATTTGTTGATGGTTACATATTTATCATAATTTTTATCTTTATCTTCTTCCTCTTCCTAAAGAACCCCCTTCAGCAATTCATATAATTCTGGTTTGGCGGTGATGAACTCCTTTAGCTTTTTTTTATTAGTGAAGCTCTTTATCTGGCCTTCAATTCTGAGTGATAGCTTTGCTGGGTAGATTATCTTTGGCTGTAGGTTCTTGCTATTCATCACCTTGAATATTTCTTGCCATTCCCATCTGGCCTGCATGGTTTCTGTTGAGAAATCAGCTGACAATCAAATGGGTGTTCCTTTATAGGTAACTACCTGCTTTGCTCTTGCTGCTTTTAATATTCTCTCATTGTCTTTTGCTCTTGGAATTTTAATTATGATGTGTCTTGGTGTGGTCCTCTTTGGATTCCTCTTGTTTGGGGTTCTGTGCACTTCCTGGACTTGCGAGTCTATTTCTTTCCCCAGGTGGGGGAAGTTTTCTGTCACTATTTCTTCCAGTATTCTTTCATTATCTTGCTCTCTCTCTCTTCTTCTGGGACCCCCATAATTCTGATGTTGATTCATTTGAAATTATCCCAGAGGTTTCTTACACTATCTTCAACTTTCTGGATTCTCTTATCTTCTTGCTTCTGTAGAGGAGTGTCCTCTGGCTCTTTATGTTCCAAATCTTTGACTTGATTCTTGCTATCTTCCATTCTGTTTTTAGGAGTCTGTATAATATTTTTTTTTCAGACAATGTATTCTTTATTTCTAGTTGATCCCTTTTCATATCCTCACAGGTCTTGTTTATTTTATCAGCCTTTTCTAGGAAATTCTTGAAAAACCTTATAAGCGTGGTTTTGAACTCTATATCCAGTTGCTTTTTGTCCTCCATTTCTTTTGTTTCTGCTCTGTTTCCTTGTCTCGGCATTTTCACAGCTTCCCTGAGTTGGTAGGGTGGCTTTGTGTGCTAAGGTGTCCTATATGGTTCAGTGAGTCAGCCTCCCAGTTACCTGAGGTGGACAGTCTTGGTGTAGCCCTTTGTGGGCTGTGTGTGCAGTCTTGTTGTTAAGCCTTGCTTGCTGTTGGTATCACTGGTAAGCATTGATCTCCAAGCCAATTGGCTATGAGGATCAGAAGTGTCTCAGCGAGGAGGGTTTCTGTATTCCGCTTGGATGGGGTGGAGTCTCAGGGTGGCACAGACAAGCCTTGGTGAATCCCGCAAGATTGGTTGCAGGCACACGCACCTCTTTGGTATAGGCGCAGACAAGCTTTGGATTCCTATCTGTCCTTCCCAAGGAGAGTTCTATTTGCGGCAAAAGCTAGCCACTTGAAGGGCTTCTGTGCTTCGCTTGGATGGGGCGGAGTCTCGGGGTGGTGCATACAAGCTTTGGTCAGCCCCTCCCTATGAGGGTCTGGTTTCTGAGTCCCACAGTAATGGCCGCTGGCTTCACATACCTCCGAGAGATTTCTGTCCACTGCCTGACAGTCTGGCCTCTCCCTGTCTGGGGCCATCTATTAAAGCAATAGGGTGGTTCTGTTTTCCTACCGAACAAGAAAGCTATCCATGCATTAGCTGTCCACCCTCTCCGCGCGCAGGGAGTAAGCCAGCAGGGAACTCGGCCCACCCTCTCCATGCTCCACAAGCAAGCCAGCAGCAAAGTCTGGCGGCCACCTTTTCGCACAAGCAGTTCATCGCACCTTCACAGTTCCTGAGGTTCAGCGTGCCTTCTCTCTCCTTCCCAGATGGTAGAGCCCCCTCTCGGCCAGCCACCCGGTGCTTCAGGGCGATGTTTCCCCTGTTTTCCAGTTCTAAATTCAAATTTGTTGTGGTAGGCTGCATTCAGGTGTCTACCCTAGGCCGCCATCTTGGTTTCTCCAAAACATCAATTCTTTATGAAAAAGAAAGATATAAAGCCATCAACAAATTACTTTTATGAATATATATACTAAAATCCTGAAAAAAAAATAATAACAAACAGTATCTAGTGACACATTAAAATATAACCCATCATGATAAAAATTATTCCAGGAATGCAAGGGTATCTATATACCGTATTTTCCGGTGTATAAGATGACCCCCCCTAATTTTACAGTTAAAACATAGGTTTAGGCCTATATTCGCTGTATAAGACTACCCCCCACTTCCGAAGCAACACCACTTCTTTTTTTAATAGACTGCCTCTCTGACTCTGGCCAATCTGAGCAGGCTTTTTTTTCCGTTTCTAGGTCAAGAAAATGTTTCTTAAAATTCAAACCCTGGAAGGATTGTCAAATTTATTTTACCAAAGATCATATATCAAAGTGTATTAGGCACAAACATAGGCCCATGATTAAAAGGTGGCTTTTAAAAAATACCTGATGAATATAACTTATAATCATTTTTAATAATTTATAGAACTAGGAAAGGACTAAATAAAATGAGGTTTATTCTCTAACTTCATTTGTCCTTGGATGTGGTCAGCAAATTACACTAATTGGATTTCTGCTATCAGTCTTCCTGAGTACACTGATATTTAGCATCTGGTTATACCCTCTGGTTATGGAGGCAAAATGCACATGATTTACTCTTAAGTGTCCCTGGTTTAGGGAAGATTAGATTTACTAGATGGCTCCAAATTGCTGTTTAACCATTTCAGTTTCCCTATTCTACAATACTTGTCTTGGCTTACTGGCCTGTGTTACTTACTTAACTTCCTTTTGCCATTTCTCTTCACAAAATTCTGCAACTTTCTCAAACTCTCTACAGCTTTCACAAATCTTTCTTCTGAACCCTTATAACTTTCAGAAATAAGTAGCTTTATAATCCACTTTTTTCCCCTTCAAAATGCATCTCTATGCAGTAACCCTTAAAAACCTTAATTTTTAGGTGACATGTAATTAACATCCCTCAGATTAACAATACATTCACATTTATGAGCTATTTCAAATAAAACACAAGACTTATTCATTAACAGATTCAAATCCATCCTCTAGATTCTCCATATGAGGCAAACTCCAATGAATAATATTTCAGTATTTTGTTATTTCAAAATACCTAGATATTTAATAATTTTTATTATTTAATCCAGCAAACTCCAAAGTTTTAAGTTACCAAAAATTTTGGAAAACTATGTGTAGCCACATATAATTATCACTGAGAAAGCTTTATCATATACCCTTCATTTTAGTTATATTTATTTTGCCTTAACAACTTTGATATTTTAAAGCCAATTATTATTACCCAAGGCATTTTCATGGCAAACTTTGTAACAGGGATAATTCACTGACTTTCAGTGGCTTTAATGTGAAAGTACTATTTTTCTTTTACAAAAATGGGAGTGCTATTTCTGCAGCCTACTGGAGGACACTTCTATAGCTCTGATCCTTCTAGGAAAAAGAGTGGGGGGGGGGGTTCAAAGGTTTTGTTTCTCATATTTTTTCCTTCTGAGTAGACTAAAAACATGAAATCTTGCATATAAGAAGAGATCTTAAAAACAGAAACAGAAAAACTGCACAGTAAATAAAAGACTACTCATAAAAGGGTGGACATTAGCCTTAGAATCTTATCTCACACTGACCCATCACAGCAAATGGGTTCTGAGTGGCACAAAGCCCAAACAGCAGAGGCAGAGGATTCCCTATGTTCATAAAATGGTGAAGAACAAACAAAGTCCCCCAAAGATAAGAATGTAAGCAAAAATAATCAATAACCAAGTTACATTACAGACAGACAAGAACTTTCACTAACTAAGAGTTTCCAGTAGTTGATAACGTGAGAGAGAGAGCAGGAAGGATCCTCAAGATTAAAAATTCTTGGCAGCTGCTGAGAAGTTTCTAGCAAAGTGAAATATGCCTCATCCTTAAACAAATTAAACCAAACAACAAAGACACGTAAAACAACAATCAACAGATACTCATGTATAATATTTACAGGCACACAACACAGAGACAAGACTTAATAAATCAGAATTTTTTTCATGGATATTACAGATGTTTTACATTGCCCAATACTTAACAGCCAGAATGTGGCCCAGAGGGCTCCCAGGTGGGTTCACCAGTGAACATTTGAAAACAGCCTGTTGTTTACAGATCTTATCATATTCTACTTTCTATAGCAAATATTGACTGGTATCCACAGTTGTTCTGGCCAAAAAATGCCAAAGGCGTCATATGGTAATTTCCAGACAAGACATTAAAGAGTCCTTTTGTAAATGGACTGTCAGCCCCATTTTCTCTAACACTTTCCCTTATTTCTTTAAAGGTATTAAAGGAGAGCAATACATGCTTCCAATTACCTTGCCAATCTTCCATAACTTGGCAAGCCAAAAGTTCTTCTTCTAACATAGTTTGTCTTATACATGATCCCATAACTGAGGATCTAGTTGATGAGCCTTCCCACATCGATGGTGGAGGATTGGGAAATATTTCTTCTCGCGGTGGGGTCTTAGGCATTGCAGGCTTTACATGCTCTACTTCAGGAAGAGGGGGCAGTGGTAAATTCTCCTGGTGTTCTATAGGCTTTTGATCCTCAATAGGAAGTGGGCATAGTGCAACTCGAACAAGAATCCAGATGGTTAAAGATGACAAAGACACTTGTTTTCCCTGGGCTTGATTTCTCTTTAAATTCCTATTTACTTATTCCCAGAGATCAAGGTCTAATGTTACAGCATCAAGAGACAAAGGGTAATAAGTTATAATGGCCTGAAAAAGGCCCTTTAAATGTTTCTTTGTAACTGAGGCACCATTCACTTTTAACGACTGTTTAAGCAGTTATACATTGTTGTTTTATGGACAACTTTGGTCCCATTGTGAAAGTTTAGCTGAAAAACAATTCCCTGGAACTTGGAAATCCCAAGGGATCCAAGGGATTATAAATTATAACAGTCTGCAAAAGGACCTTTAATTGTTTCTCTGTAAGTGAAGCACCATTTTCTTTTAATAACTTTTTAAGTAACAAAGAGATCCGTTAGTTGGTGGACAGCTGCTGTCCTATTGTGAAACCCTAGCTTAGGGGTGTCGAACTCAATCAGAGAAGGGGCCAAAATCTAAAATCCAGCCTAAATCGCGGGCCGAATGGTTTACTGAACAGTCATAAACTGTCATTGTGATGGAAACGCAGCGGAGTGCAGTGATGACAGCGCGGTGCGGGCCACATTGCAAGGCCTGGCGGGACAGATTTGGCCCGCGGGCCTTGTGTTTGACACATGTGCTAGCTGAAAAACATACCCTTGAACTTGGAAATTCTAGGTCCTCACATGGAGAATCACCTTGCTGGGGCTGACCAGCAGAACCTGAGCAACAGATGAATGGATTACTATGACACAATATTTGCTTCAAAAGAGAGAGGCTAAGGAACTGTCTGACTAAAGGAACCAGACAGCCTCAATTGCCTGCCATGTTAGGCTTTTATTGTAACAGCAGTTTGAGATAAAGTTTATCTTTTAGACACAATCAGTAGGGTAATTAATATTGTTTGTAATGTCCTTTAAGCAAGGACACCCAAATATTAATTATAAGGATTCCAGTAAACACCTGGGGGTCTGCATATGCACAGACTTGTTTGGAAAGGTCAAGGAATAATTAGGGGCACTGCCTTTGACACTCCCCTAAGTTGGAATTCCAATAAACAGGGCAGGTGGCCTTCCGCACACTTCTCTTTTCTCACAATGTCCTCCTTACAAACTTTCTAACCAAGTCTTGTGTGCTCCCCAACACTCCTCTGTCCAAATCCCGCCGCACCCCTGGCCTTCACTACCTTATTTTCTGTGGGCTAATGCATATAAGTTTTTTTGTTAATCCCTTCCCACCTCCACCTCCCCTGTTCACTCTGAGATCCATTAGTTTGTTACATGTTTCCATGACTCTGGTTCTATTTTATTCATTAGTTTATTTTGTTCAATAGATGCCTTGTTTGTTTATTTTGATTTTTAGATTCAATTGTTGATAGATATGCATTTATTGCCATTGTATTGTTCATGTTTTCTTCTTCTCCTTCTTCTTCTTCTTCTTCTTCTTCTTCTTCTTCTTCTTCTTCTTCTTCTTCCTCCTCCTCCTCCTCCTCCTCCTCCTCCTCCTCCTCCTCCTCCTTCTTCTTCTTCTGGAAGATCCTTCAAGATTTTATGTAATATTGGTTTGGTGGTGATGAACTCATTTAGCTTTTTCTTGTCTGTGAAGGTCTATCTGACCATCCATTCTAAGCTTTGCTAGGTAGAGTAATCTTGGTTGCAGGTCATTGCCATTCAGCCATTCATCACTTTGAATATTTCTTGCCACTGCCTTCTTGCCTACAAAGTTTCTATTGATAAATCAGCTGACAGTCATATGGGCACTCCTTCATAGGTAACTAATTGCTTTTCCCTTACTGTTTTTAAAATTCCCTCTTTGTCTTTAAACTTTGGCATTTTAGCTATGATGTGTCTTGGTGTGGGCCTGTACTTGTCTTTCTTTCACCAAATAGAGGAAGTTTTATGTCATTATTTCTTCAAATAGGTTTTCAATATCTTGCTTTCTCTTTCTCTTTCTGGCACCCCCATAATGTGAATGTTGATATGGTTGTAGTTGTCCCAGAGGCTCCATACACCATCTTCATGTTTCTTAATTTTTTTTTTCTTTTCACTCTTCTGATTAGGTGTTTTTTGCCTCCTCATATTCCAAATCACTTATTTGATTCTTGCAACCTCTACTCTACTGTTGATTCTGTGTAAATTATTCTAAATTTCAGTTAATGTAGCCATCATTTCTGACTGATCTTTTTTCATGTCTTTGGTTCTTTTCACTAAGATCTTTGAAATTATCACTAAGTCCCATGAAGCTCTTATTAAACTCCTTGAACATCCTTATAGCCATTGTTTTGAATTCTGTATCCAGTCATTTGTTTTATTCTATTTCATTTACTTCTTTTTCTAGAAATTTTTTTTGTTCTTTCATTTGTGACATATTTCTCTGTCTGTACGTTTTTGCTGTTTCCCTGTGGGTTTTTTTCTTCTTCTATGTATTAGGTAGAGCTTCTATGTATCCTGAAATTGGTAGAGTGGCCTTATATAATAGGAGTACTGTAGGGCCCAGTGCTCAGCCTCCCCAGTCACCTGAAGCAGGCATTCTATGTGTGCCCCTGTGTGGGATGTGTGCACTCTCCAGTTATAGTTGAGCCTTGATTGCTGTTGGAGTCACTGGGAGGAATTGGCCCTAAGGCCAATTGGCTGTGAGGACCTGCTGTGACTACAGCAGAAGAGCTGCTGTGCAGGGGACACCCCTGTGGAGCAGGACTTGTTTCAGTGTGGCTTTGGTTTCAGTGTGGCTTTTGGAAAACTCACTGAGTCTTCCCCTTGAATATTTCTCATGGATGAGTAGGGTTGTAATTTGGCATGATCTGAAGCTGTCCACCAGGTGCACTGCCTCTGTGGCCTCCAGGAAGGTGCAAAGTCAGCCACTGCTGTGCCCTGCCTGGGGCCATCCGGTAGAAGCTACAGAATGACCTCAGATGGATCCTATTTGTATTGGACTCAGAGATGCCCAGGAGAGACCAAGCTGTGAACTTTGGCAAGCTTCAGTTAGGGCTGGGCCTGGTTCCACTTATCAAGAGGTATGGAACACACTAAGTCCAGCTGCTGTTTGCTTGAATGATTTTAGGAAAGTCTGAATCTTGAGCCAGAACAGGCCATTCATATGAAAAAGCCTCTGCATATAGCTTGGGTGGGGCTGTAAATGGAGTGGGGGTTCATAGGGAATCACAGTTTGGGAGGAATAGTGTGAACCAGGTTGATGGGAGACTCATACACGGTGCCTGCCAGTCAGCTCTGTGGTAGGGGAGGTCTTAGCACAGGAACAATGACCCCTGAGAGCAGCTCTGTCTGGGATAAAGCTGCCCCAGGGTTCTTATCCCAATGCCAGGCAATCCAGTTCCTTCCCATATGTCACTGTTCCTCCATCCCCCACACCCTGCTAAGCCTTTTACCCAGTGCTGGTGCTCAAAAGGAGTGAATCCTAGTAAGTCTATGTGTTAATCGTTTGAGAGGAACTATCTGGGTCTCCAGCAGCCTCCCTGTCTCTCAGCCACTATCCCCACAGGGTTTTATAGCCCGGAGTTACAGGGCTTCTCTTCCCAGCACTAGAATCCTGGACTGAGGGGTCCATTCTGGGGTTTGAAGCCTTTGCTTCTGGGGAGCCTCCTCAGCCAAGATATCCCTCCCAATTAAAAATACACCACATTTGAGTGTCAGACCAGACCATTCCGTGCTTCCACACCTCCTACCAGTCTCAATGTGCTTTCATCTTTAAATATATGGTTGTAGGACTTCCATTCAGCCAGATTTCAGGTATTTCTGAATGATGGTTTTTCTGTATTTTAGTTGTGGTTTTGATTTCATTGTTAGAGGATACAAATACTTGTGTTTACCTATGCCACCATCTTGGTTTCTCCTTCTAAACAGTATTTTTTTTTTTGTCCACTTTCACCCACAGCATCTCTTACACATTGCTTCTATAGTGTACACTACATTGAATCATTAGGATATACACCTATATTCTTTATACCTAGTGCTAAGCAAAATGCCTAGGACCTACCCTGTTTCCCCAAAAATAAGACAGTGTCTTATACTAATTTTTGCTCCCAAAGATGCGCTAGGTCTTATTTTCAGGGGATGTCTTATTTTTCCATGAAGAAGAATATGGTACACATTTATTGTTAAATTAAAATAAAGGAAATTTATTACCTATATACGGTATGGTAGTACGGTAGTTGTCAACACAAACCAGACAAACTGTGAATCCTACAGTATCAAGAATTTACTCATTTATTCAATGACAATCATGTCATCATCTTCTGGAACATCATCATAACAATCCAATTCCTGAATTTCCTGGTGAATTTCTTGTGACTCCATTTCTTTCAGAATCAGTGGACCGAATCTCTCATGTTTAGCCTGGGGGGGGGGCTTATTTTCAGGGGGATGCCTTATATTTCACTCAGAAGGAAACCTGTAAGTAGGTCTTATTTTTGGAGGATGTCTTATTTTCGGGGAAACACAGTAGTAAGCCTTCGACAATTACATATTAGATGATTTGTGTATGTTTGCAGATGCTATTTTGTAAATGAATTATAAACCAAACACCACAAATAAAACACATATGCATGTGTTTTTAAGTCATGGGCAACAGTTTTAATATTAATTATTTGATCTCCACTCTACTCTTAATGTTTTTATTTTTTTAAAGTGGGAAAATAAAACTAAAGATAATAAAAACAGTTTTAGTTAAAGGCAAGCAATGGTGTAGCTTTAGTGGGACTTGTGTATTTTTGAAAGATATGCAAGCATCAGGAGACTAATAGTACTCAAACTCATAGTCGGGTGGGGAGAAAAACAGAAGCAAAACAATGTTATCACTTCTGTAATCAAGAAGTACTAACAGGATGCTATATGATCTCATATGTGCCTCACCCAGACATTGTTAAGGAAGACTTCCCAGAAACGAGTAGGATTTATTGAGGAAAAGAAACAGAATAGATAATCCAGGTGCAAGAGCCTATAAAAAAAGGCATAGAAATGAGTGAAAATGTGGCTTACCTGAATAACTACATATGTTATATGCAAATTTCACTATATTTAGAACACAGAGAACACTGGAATAAAAAACCATGGTCCAGTTCAAAGATTATCTAACTCATGGTAAGGAATTTCATCCTGAAGATTTTGACAGTGGATGAGGAATTGGGAAGAATAATTGAAGAATCTTAAATAGAAGAGTGTCATGATCACATTTGCATTTTAGAAATATCACTGGCTATTGTGTGCACAATGGATGTGAGTGAAAGAAAAAGTTGAAAAGATTGCAAACAGAGACAACAGTTATAATCAAGGCAAAAGCTGATCATGATCTGAAATGATTTACTACTAAAGGAACTGAAAAGTGTTTTGTAAACATAAAATCAATAGATCTGATAAGATGTGAGTTAAGGGAGAGTCCAGTATACAGTTTTAGATTTCTGATTTGGGTAACTGGGTGTTTTGGCTAATGATTTGGGTGCTGGGTATATCATTCTCTAAGACTAGGAATAAAAGAGAACATATGTGAAGACAAAAGTTTTACCCCTGTTAAATATCACAAACTTGTGGGTCATGAGGGTGACGACATACAGTAGGTCTGCAGCTTAGGAGAAAGGACTTGGATATAAATATTTATTTGGGACACATCACCAAGGAGATGCTAATTAAAACTATGAGAATAAATGACTTCCAAATCTTTGATTTTAACTGAAGCTATTCTTCTGAGATCTAGACATTTTAAGTAGACTGATGGAAGACAGAGTCAGATAGTAGGATATTGAGAAGAGAGTGAGTAGTAAAGGAGTGGAGGTAGTGTGGTCCATACTTCTAAGAAGATGGAGTGTGCAGAACTCAAGAAATAATGTTATTCCTGAGAAAATGTAAGGTCAAAGAACTGAAGATAGGATGCAGGACTTAGAAGGAAGGTCATATTTCTCATTGAAACTGGAGGAAGTAGGTAAGATTTGTTTACATACAAATAATTTTGTTATTCCTCAGAAAATTAGGGGCATCTTTAGAATCGCATTTTACAAAGATCACAATGAACACATGACTATTGGATTAGAAGTAGTTAAATTATTTTATAAATATTTGCATTCCTCAATACTGGAGGAAAAAAAATACAGAGGTTTA